GGAGGGGGGCGTGGATCAGGAGTCTGAGGCCGGCACTGGGGTGATATTTTATTTGTGCTGAAATGTGATAGTTGATTTGTATGTTAATAAATACAGTTTGCCTGGAGATCAGAGGTCATTGCCATAAACAGGTGGTACACACCCTTAATCCCAATCACATGGCAGGCAGAGTCTCTGTGCGTTCAAGGACACAGTCAAGCGTGGTGACACAAGCCTTTAATCCCAGTACCAACCATAGAGACCTGAAGGTCTGTATAGACAGGCAGTGACAAGGAAGTGATGTGGCTGGGCTTAGAGCCAATGAGAGGGCAGAACAGGAAGGCAATAAAGGTGCAAGTTACACAGGAAGAGGCTCTCTTAAGAAGCTATGGCGAGGTGGTGAGCTAAGGTTAGTTGGCGGCTATTACTCTGATCTCTACGGCTTGCACCCCTGTATTTTGCTCTGTGTTTCTTATTTAATAAGACCATTTAGAAATTTGTCTACAATTGGCGCCCAACATGGGGTACCAGATTATAATACGAATCTTAAAAGGTCTTATCAATGAAAACAAATCCAGGAACAGGTATTGGGGTGAACGCTGGAAGATCAGAGAGATAGAACAGACCACAGCTTCCTCACCTCGCCAATTCCTCAGCTGATCCTGTTTCCACAGAATGGAAGCCTCTGAGTCCTCATCCGGAATGAATCTCAGCTGAACGGCTGCTAAAAGCCTAAAAGCTTAACCAGGCTCTAGTTCATGGTCCTCACACCTTATATACCTTTCTGCTTCTTGCCATCACTTCCCGGGATTAAAGGCGTGTGGCACCATGCCTGGCTGTTTCCAGTGTGGCTTTGAACTCAGAGATCCGCATGGATCTCTGCCTCCAGAAGGCTAAGATTAAAGGCGTGTGTGCCACCATTTTCTGGCCTCTGTATCTAGTGGCTGTTCTGTTCTCTGACCCCAGATAAGTTTATTAGGGTGCACAATATATTGGGGAACACAATATCACCACAAGCCAGGCTACACAGTAAGTTCTGGGTCATCGAGATACTAGAGACCTGTTGTAGGCACTGGAAATAAAAGCTATTAATAACACACAGAAGAACCCTTAGAAATGGACAGGGGGATAGACTTCAGTGTTGTCACGGGGAGGAGGGTGTGGGGGGAGGAGGGAGAGAAGGGGGGGCAAGGGGAAAGGGGAGCAGCCAGGTGATGTAAATGTTGTAAGCTTGACTTAGTCATACAACATGTATGCAGACATCAAAACACCTATGTTATAGCCCATAAATAAGTGCAGTTTTTAAGGTAAAGTGGCAATCTCACAAAAGAGAGGCCTGGTGAGTGTGCTGGTGAGTTTTACATCAACGTAAGATAGAGTTGTGGTGGTAGTGGTGCATGTCTTTGATCCCAGCACTCAGAGGTAGGGGGACCTCTGAGTTCAAGGCTACCCAGGTCAACAGTTGTGGAAGCCACAGAAATCTTTTGGCCACTAAGAAATAAATATAGTTTTAACAGCTGACAGAATGACCACAAAAAGCAAGTATCTCAGGACCTCTCAAATGTAACAAAATTCACCAATTTAGAAGCAGAACTTTTAAAATGTATTTTATCTATCAGTGCGTGTGTGCATGCAAGCGTCTGGGGCGCAGAGGCTGGCTCTCTCCATCTACCGTGGGATCCGGGGATCCAATTCAGGAGTCAGTCTTGCATGGCAAGGGCCTTTATAGGCTGAGCCAACTCACAGACCACAGCTGGTTTTCAATCAATCTTTTCAGGTGATGCTCTCCATGAGAAATGAAAGGGGAACAGAGAAACAGTGACTGGTAGAGCAGCACAAGGCAATTCCCTCACAAGCTTGCAGACGCGCCCCCTTAAGTACGAGAAAATTGTATTTGAAATGAACTGGTCTTCGACTTACAACAGAAAGTGCTTATTTTAAGAACCAAAACAGTAATACACACAGAGTCAAGAAGAAACAAAACCCTGTTCAACACGAAGCTGCACCCTTCTAGCACGCTGTGAGTTAAGTCATGATCTAAAGGCTTCTCAGGTTGAAGGAACAGCTGAAATACAATCCTCAGACTCAACTACAAAATAGCATAACAGACTGTCATCTACCACAGGAGACTAGGAAAATGCCAGTGCACCCCAATTTTTATTATGAATGTATGTAATGAAAGTCAGAACACCAACTGGGGGCAGGGGTTGAGGGTGGCGTACACCGTTAATCCCAGCACTCGGGAGGCAGAGGCAGGTGGATCTGTCTCTGTGAGTTTGAGGCTAGCCTGACCTACAAAGTGAGTTCCAGGACAGCCAGGGCTACACAGAGACACCCTGTCTCAAAAAAACCAATTAAAAAAAATTAGAAAACTATTTCTGTTTATGAGAAAGCATCATCTATAAAAGCAGATTCTGATCAATGGGTCTACTGTGACAGACCCCCAAAGAACTTACTGTATCAGAGAGAGCCTAAAGTCTCAGTCTCCTGCTAAGTGCAACGTTGTGTAAGGAGGCGGCAGGCACCGTTTGCTGTCTCCCCGGCTCTCAACTGTCAGTCTGGCCACAGTTAACAAGCAGTTTTCTCACACAACCACTCCGCCTCATACTGTGCTCACAATGCGCTTCATGTTCCAGACATAGTCAATACCCAAATCAGCATCCCCTACCACCAGTGACCTCTGCCAGCCACGAACCCATCAAACACGTTCCTCCCCCATTACTGGGGGCCCCTGCCAGTCTCCTAAGACTGCTGGGGTAAATTACCACCAACTTAGTGCTAAACAACGAAAGGTGTCCTCTCACAGTTCTGAAATAGAACTATGAAATGTGCACCAAGTTCAGCTGGGCATGGTGGCTCACACCCATAACCAGCACTTGGGAGGCCAAGGCAGGCAAGCTGTGGAGGGTTTGAGGCCAGCCTGTCAGGTATACAGAATGAGAGCTCACTGAAAGACACACAACAAGACCCGAGACAAGCAAAGGGAAGAGAGGGGAGG